GATGTGAAGAGAAGAAACATATCCACACCTATACCCTATTTTTCGCATTAAATATATATCGAGAAAATTCACAACAATTTCTGGTTCATCAAAATGATACTTGACAGAAATACGGATGACAAACAGTAGCTATTACTAACTAGTTACTTAAATGACTAAAACTTGCCTGTATCATTTTATCAATAAAGGTTTGATCAGTAGCCTCAATATGGTTTACTTTCCATTTGAATAATATCTTGTGCCAAGATTTCATGTGAATGATCAGCAGCCTGACTTTTATCTTGATTGAATCAATTCTGATTTCAGCGTCTATCATATTCAAACAAGAATATCTTCAACAAAATGATAAATAGGAATATTCATAACAAAGAAATCACACAAATTCTGTTGTTGAATGAGCAAATTTCTCATCCGAGTTCTCAGTGTTTTCACTTGAATATTTCGATTAATTGATTGAAGGTTTTCTTTAAAAGAATTTCGAATAGATCCATCACTTTTGATCGAAGCCACAAAATTGAACTAAATGTGCTAATTTCAATAAATCTTTTCAAATTCTCGTTTATATTAACTTGTCAAGGTAGAAAAGTGGTGTGTGACTGTGACTGTGAGTGAAAGAAGAAACAGACTCATAGTTATTGAAATGTTTTCGAGATAGAATAGACAATCAGCGGCTACAACAATTTAGCAGAGTTAATAACTAACGAGGTTATTTCAATAAATATTGTGTATTTCGAAACGATATTTGAAGCGTGAATTAAAAGGATGAAACTTGTCATGAAATATTACAACAACAACTCCGAATATATGGCATAGAGAAATGAATGAAATATCGTTTTTTTTTCTGAATAGATATAACAAAGTGACAGAACTTTTTCATTACCGCATGTAGAACAAATTTTTGAAAACTTTATAGTGTTTCGAATGTAGTAATTTGAATCATTGCTTATAGATTGGTAGAAAGTTTACTTTTCAATAATGAATGTAAGAAACAATAAAAAATAATTGGCATTAGATAGAATGCTTTTCTTGAGACAGAAATTCTCACTGAGAATATTGATATAGAAATGGAACATGTAATATCTCGCCATTTTTACCAGTTCTTTCTTACTGATGTTTTTTTCTTTTCTGTCGTTGTAAGCTTTTTTGTACTCTTTTTACGACGAGTTATGTTGTTCTGTTACAAATACATGAATTTTTTACCAGTGAAATACTCAGTGCTTGCGATATATAAGAGCGACAGAGATGTAAGTTTTTTGTTTATTAAAATTACATTCTTATTACGGCATAGTCTAAAAACTAAAGTAAGATCTTTTATCTAAATTGAATATAGCTTATATCAAAAAAAATTGATAATTTGAAATACTATTATCAATAGTTTATTGTATTGATTATAGATTATTAATAATTTATTCGGATACTGTCAAGAAGAAAACTTACAATCAATTTTTTTCATACGAAGGTTAATAAGATCATTTATCTTTTTTGTTTTATTTCAATAATAATATTTAATGATTTAAACTTTTGTAGGAATAGATCCGCAAACGAATAGAAAATGTCACAAAGAACTAATCGAAAGGATTCATTTTGCAGTTTGAATTAATTAATAATTTGTTTCATGGTTATTTTTTGTAGCTCGAGCCGACTCAAAAATAGCAACAGCCAACAACAATAATAGTACGCCAGTAGCAGCTAGAGGGTGTGGAGTGTATGTGTGGGTGTAGTGTGAGGCTGTAGGTGTGACGTGTGGACGCCATGTCAACACCCACATCCTCCATTATTAAAGAATACGATTCGTTTTTATTAAACACATATAGTATCCTTCGCATTCTAAAATATTGTAATAGACAACGCTCAATAGAAATAATGATTAAATTTAAAAGAATGTGATACTTGGCTCTTCTTTGTTATGTACAAGTCTATCGTATGCAACTTGAAAAATAGGTTCTTTGAGCACTTCAACACGATGATAATGAGTACGCGTACTTATATAAGGAGAACGTTGTTCAAATGCATGCCGAAGTTGTTTTCGAGTCTCTTTTCTCTCTGACAATATATTGCCATCTTCATTGCCGTTGGCCCACTGTAAAATAACATTAAAATAATTTTGAACAGCATCCCAATGTGCTGCTTCAGCGATTGCTTTGCCTTTCGTATCAGCCCGAAAAGCATTAAACATAACTTCATCTTCAGTCGTCGGTGGGATGAATTTAAAATCCGGTTGAGTACCATACAATCTTTTCGGAAGAACTGATAGGTCAATAAATTCGGCTAATTCGTCTGCACTATGAATAAATCGTACTTTTTTTTGCACACTTGGGCTTAACCAAGATTTAATTAGCATCCAACTTTTATCGAATATCCAAGGACAATTAAGAATAAGTATAAGACCAAGTGAATCTGGATAATAGTTGTCGATTAGGGTAATAACAAATTTAATCTGATGGAGATCGAAATTCTTCGCTTCACAACCACCCATATCAGCAATGATCGTTACAGATTCTATCGGTGGTTGTAGCAGCTTGCGATAGGTTTCCACACATAATACAGCCATTTTCTCGCTATATTCGTGTGGAAATTGGCCTTTGATATGTTCTTTCGGATGAATGCAACAAATTGGTCGACCTACTCTATCATGACCCATGAAATAAGTCTTGCCTGTTGCAATTTCTTCTTGAGAAATAGCTCTTTCACCATTAGCTATAAGCTCTTGAACGCCCCAGTCATGTCGCCACTTAAGTGTCTGTATTATTTGACTAACACAAATGTTAACATTCCATTTACGAGAACGAAGCCATC